GGCAAGTGATTAAGAATAATATTATTGAAAAGATTATAGAAATAAAGTATTTTTCAATCATACTTGATTGTACCCCAGATTCAAGTCATCAAGAACAAATGTCTTTTATATTGCGAAGTGTGGATATAATTCATCAATTCCAAAAACAATTACTGAATATTTTTTAGAATTTTTAAAACTGGATGATACAAGTGGAAAAAGTTTTTCTGAAGTTATTCTAGATGAAATAAAAAAATATTGGACTTGATATTGATAATAAGAGGACAAGGATATGATAACGGATCCAATATGAAGGGAAAACACCAAGGAGTGCAAAAAAGACTTCTCGATATAAATCCTAGATCTTTTTATACACCATGTGGTTGTCATAATCTAAATTTGATACTTTGCGACATGACTAATTCTTGTACGAAAGCTATATCATTTTTTGGAGTAGTACAACGTTTATATTCACTATTATTTTTCTTCCACTAAGCGGTAAAATTTTTTAAAAGATAGTGTGCCAGTATAACTCTTAAATTATTATCACAAACACGTTGAAAAAGTTGTATTGAAAGTATTAAAGTAATAAGATTTCAAGCTCCACAAATAAGAGATGTTTTAAAAAAAATTAGTAGAAGTTAGTGAGGATCCAAAAACAAAAAGTGAAGCAGTTTTTTAGCAACATATGAGCTTGAAAATTTTGATTTTTTATTGGGCATGACTATTTAGTATGATGTATTATTTGCTGTTAATTTAGTTAGCAAAATTTTACAATCAAAAGATATGCATATTGATATTTCCATAGATCAACTAAGAGGTCTAATTTCTTCTTCTTCTTTTTTTAAATAGAGAAGAAGGATTTACAAATGCTATGATTTCAGTTAAGGAAATTGCATTTGAGATGAATATAGAACCTGAATTTCGTAATAAACACATAATATATAGAAAGAAACAATTTGATGAGAATGTTGATAATGAAATCACAAAGTCTCTTGAAGAATCTTTTAGAGTTGATTACTTCTTATACATAGTAGATCAAGCCATTTTTTCACTTCAAAATAGATTTGAACAGTTTGAAGTATATGAAAATATCTTTAATTTCATATTTAGTGGTAATAAATTGAGATCAGTAGATGACGAGAATTTAAAAAAATATTATTTTAATCTTGAAAGTTCCTTAAAACATAACAATCACTATGATATTGATGCTTTAGACTTATTTTCCGAACTAAAAGTATTAAGAGAAATAATACAAGTAGAAGATAATGCTCTAATTAATATACTCAATCAAATAAAAATACTTGATTCTTTTTCAAATGTGTATATTGCTTATAGAATAATGTTAATAGTTCCTATAACTGTTGCTTCGGCAGAAATAAGTTTTTCAAAATTAAAAGTGATAAAATCGTACCTAAGATCAACAATGTTCAAGAAAGATTAAATGACTTGGATGTATTATCAATTGAAAAGAAATTATTAGAAAAAATTGATTATAAAAAAAATATTAACAACTTTGCATCTCAAAAAAATAGAAGAATAGATTTCAAATAAATATATATATTATAACGTTCTTATAAATACTTAGGCCTCACATTAAACTTTTGCCTTAGACCTCACATGCACTTGAGCCGCCCCTGACTCTATTGCAAGCCTCTTTGTAATAACTCTATCACAAAGCTCACCACTTTGACTAACTCTAGCAAAACATAAACACACGTTTTGCGAATTACAGAAGATATCCTACAAGATGTTTCTAACTAAGCTAAAAAGGAATTACAAGTGAATAACATTAACAAATATACAACAATACTAAGGACACACGATGAACTCAGTGTCGGGATCTGGTCCTTTGTTCTGTTGCTACTTTGTTCTTCAAACCTTGGAGTCGATGAAGGCGGCAGCATACTTGAGAGAGACTTAATGATTTTGGTTTTGCAAGTGTGTGTTTTCCCTTGCCTCATGTTGGTAATGTATAAGTAAGGTTATTGGGATGATGTAAGCAAGTATCTGGTACACAGCATGCTCCATAAAGTATCTGTTGTATTATTACGTGTGTAGTGCAACAGTGTAGCAGCTTTAACAGCTATAAGGAGTTGACTTGTACTGTGATCGGAGGAATTGATAGCCATTTGTTCCCTCTGTCGTTTCTTTGACTAATATTATTAGAACTTGTGCCAGACATGTGACTTGTTGTTATGAGCACTTTGAGATTGTGTATCAGATTCCCTGTCTGGTTCTCATATGAAGTTTGTTAAATCATCAAACAACAAAGGCACATAACTTTTAATCCGCGCAAGAAACTGTTTATATTCAGTAGCTGAAAAAATATATAAAATTTATATAATTTGAAAGCAGCTATACAATATCATTTTTTTATTATTTATTATAATACGACCAAGATAGAAAGGAACTTGAAGCACGAAACATTTTGTGGGCCCAAGAAGGAGGCCCATGGGAAAGGAGAATGTCGTAATCAACCCATGTGATAGAACGCTGGAGAAGCGGGCCTTAGATTGTTACAGCGGCAACTATTTCTCTTCTTCACAGCCACTTATATCTTCGCAACTTGTTTACTGGTCCAATTTCAATACTCTAAAGCCATTTTGAAACAACAGAGACACTTCGCCATTTGAAACAACAGAGGAGAGAATGAAATACCTTTTGACAAAAAAGGATTTTTTTTTCTTTTCTTTAGTGGACTGACTTAGTCCAAATCTGAATATGACCCCTTTTTTGGGGGAGAAATTTAAAAATAGCCAGATTTCTAAGTGGAAATAGCCACAGTTTTAAAAGTAATTGAAATTTAGTCACTTTTCATATAAAGATAAATCCGAATAAAAACACTGTTCAAAATCTAAAAAATACTCCAATATATTATAATGGAGTTCCAGTATAAGTATACTGGTACTCCAGCATATTATAATGGAGTTCCAGCATAAGTATACTGGAACTCCAGCATAATATACTGGAGTTGCAATATAATATACTGGAGTTTCAATATAATATATTGGTCCAGCATAATATGCTGGAAGTTCATACACATGTGCTCCAATGTCTAGTATATTATGCTAGAAGTTCATACACAGGTGCACCGATCTCCAGTATATTATGTTGTTGCAGCAACATAGTGGTTATTTTTCAATAACTTTGCAAACACTAGCTATTTTTGAATGACCAATCCGAAAACTGACTAGCTCGTGCTATTTTTACCATTTTTGTCAACAAGTAAATGATAGAGAGTTAATTAAATGAGAAAACATCCAGTTGGCCTTTCTGAGCAAAAAATGCGACTAATATTAATATATTATAAATCAATTAATATTAAACAATTACTTATAAAATGCTACAAATCTTAGCACAATTTTTGTATGCTTGAGAAATGGGATTCTAACTTGTTCTGTGTGCTTTCCATTCACGTCGTCAACCAATGACCAATGTGCTTACTTTCTCAAAATAAGACGACAATGGATAACAAACAATTAGTCCAATAAAAATATGTCATATAAATTGAAACAAGAAAATAACCTTCTTTTTTTACAATTTTCTGATAGTATGACTTAACGACAAATGTCTTTTTATATTGCGAAGTGTAGATATAATTCATCAACTCCAATAAAAATTACTGAATATTTATTTAGAATTTTTAAAAGTGGATGATACAAGTGGAAAAGTTTTTCTGAAGTTATTCTAGATAAAATAAAAAATATTGGACTTGATATTGATAATTTAAGAGGACAAAGATATGATAACGTATCCAATATGAAGGGAAAACACCAAGGAATGCAAAAAAGACTTCTCGATATAAATCCTATATCTTTTTATACACCATGTGGTTGTCATAATCTAAATTTGATACTTTGCGACATGACTAATTCTTGTACGAAAGCTATATCATTTTTTGGAGTAGTACAACGCTTATATTCACTATTTTTGGCTTGAAATGACCGGTCCCTGTTGCAGCAATATAGTGGTTATTTTTCAATAACTTTGCAAAAGCTAACTATTTTTGAATGATCAATCCGAAAACTGACTAGCCCGTGTTATTTTTACCTTTTTTGTCAACAAGTAAATGATAGAGAGTTAATTAAATGAGAAAACATCCGGTTGGCCTTGCTGAGCAAAAAATGCGACTAATATTAATATATTATAAATCAATTAATATTAAACAATTACTTATAAAATGCTACAAATCTTAGCACAATTTTTGTATGCTTGAGAAGTGGGATTCTAACTTGTTCTGTGTGCTTTCCCTTCACGTCGTCAACCAATGACCAATGTGCTTACTTTCTCAAAAAATGAGAGTCATCATACTGATGCTCTCTCATACGATCAAACAAGGAAGATCGAGAAATTACGCAAGTTAGAATCTGATTGGGCTCCGAAAGGTCCAATCTTACAAATTGATTGACTAAGGCCTGAACATCCATCGCCATGGGCCTCTCCGCTGCTGGTAAATAAGCCAAACTCCCCAAACTCTCCGCCCGGCGACTCAAAGCATCGGCCACCACATTGGTCTTGCCCGGATAATACAAAATAGTAATATTATAGTCCTTCAGCATCTCTAACCACCTCCTCTGACGCAAATTAAGATCTTTTTGCTTGAACAGATGCTGCAAACTCCGGTGATCAGTATAGATCTCACAAGGAACACCGTACAAATAATGACGCCAGATCTTCAAGACGTGAACAATAGCAGCCAACTCGAGATCATGAATAGGATAATTCTTCTCGTGTACCTTCAACTGTCTAGACGCGCACTACTACAAAAGGACCTTTTACGGAATTATTTAGTAGCAATAATGCAATTGCCGCTAATAGATTCTTTAAGCTGAAATATTAGCGACACATGACCATTAGCTACTAAAAAATATCCTTTTACCGACAATAAAAATAATTGCCACTAAAAAGTACTAATTAAAATAAATTTTTATATTTTATCTTTCCCTCCACACCCCAAAAAATAATAATCTTTCCCTCCAATTTTTTTGGACAACAATGAATTATTCCTTCCAATTAGAAATAAGAGGAAAACCTATTCCCTTCGTTAAGCGGATACAGAATCGCGCCCAAAAACATCGAACAAGATTAACATCGAACAGAGTCACGACTATGCAAGCCTACTTCGACCAGATCTTGGTCATCCTTTTTCCCTTCATTGAACGGATGCAGAATAGCGCCAAATCCTACATCGAACAGGATTAACAAAGTTGCGACTCTGCTAGCCTACATCGATCAGGTCTCCATCAGCTTTTTCCAGAGATAAATCCTCTTCTTCCCCAGGTATAACTTCTCTTCTTACCCAGCAAGTGTGATTTAAATTGAGTTGGTATTGGTGCTGCTCGATTATGGTCAATCTTCGTCGTCAGTATTCTCCGTTTAATCCGTCTCCAACTTCTTTTTTTGTGTAGGTTCAAGATTGTTGCAGAAATTTATCATCTCCTTCAATTTCTTGTCTTTTTCGCAAAAAAAAAAATCTGCTTACCAGGTACACTTTTGTAATTTTTGATATCCAACTATTGCGTTTTGAGATTTATGAAGTATAGTTTTTTTGCATATGCTAAGTCGTTTGTGATAACCGACTGCTGTTAAATTGTTGTGTGATTGATTGAATTTATTCCTCCTCTATTCCTCTACTGTTTTATGAATTGATTCCTCTGTATATTTTCTAAGGCTATTGTTATTCTTGCTACTATTCAGAAATTTTTTAAATATCGTCGATGCATATTGATGTTTTCATTGAATCTACCACTAGTCGGGATATGAATCCACTAGTCGACATACATACTGTTTTTTATTTTTGCTAATTGATGCGAGCTTTTCTTATTTTCATAAATCTGATGCCTCTGTACGAAATAAGCATATGCTCAACTTGACTTATTTGATCCTTTTGCTCTAACTGTTTTTCCGATAGGTTATTGGTTTTACTAATCAAAAAGTTTTTCAATTCATCTAACAATCTAGACTTCAACTTTCACTATGAGTGTGGCAAAACAGTGAAGTTAAGAAAAATTATCGATAGAATAAATAATTTGTGAAGTGAAGAAAGAAGTTGGACTATGAGAAATATTTGAACTATCAGCTTTTTTTTGCTTTACTTAGGGATTGCCGTACAACAGTTCATCATCTTTTTTTAAGGGATGATAACACATCATACTTCAAGAAAATAATGTATGCCTTTGAATGACCTCATTCAGATTTCTAAAATTGCAAATTGTTGTATCATTGCTGAAATTTGTAAATTATTCAGCTAGCTCATATCCATATACAGTGAGGGTTTGACAATTGTAATATCTTCAATTTTAAAATATATGACGTATGGTACTTCTATAATTTATAAGTAATAATTCTATTCTTAAAAAGTTTACGAACAAATATATAAAAACCATAGAAGAAGTATAATTTATAAGTTTAATAATTCTATTCTTAAAAAGTTTATGAACCAATATATGAAAACCATAGAAGAAATTAGAGATAGTTTAACTATTTGATAGTTTTAATAGATTTATGTTTGATAGTTTTAAATCTTAAAATGATATCTTTGAGCTATGGAATTACCTATTAATAAGATGGTTATTTTATTTGAACTATATTTTATTATTAATTTCCTCTTTTTACTAATGAATTTTTAGCTCTTGCAGTAAGTGTAGAACAAAAAAGAATATCTTGAACATGATGGACAATCCTAGAAATAAAAGATGGATGCATTGTGATAGAGTTAGTAAAGAATATTTGGATGGAGTAGAGGAGTTTATACACCATGCCTTTTCTGAAAAACAAGATGGAGAACAAATTGCATGTCCTTGTACGGAGTGTGTGCTTATCCATCAAGTAAACCGGACTATAGCATATGATGATCTTGTGATTAATGGTATTATTCCATAATATGATACTTGGTTTTGTCATGGTGAGTCTCTAAAGGGATCAAATAATTCTCAAGCAAATAATCACATCCAATCAACTTTAAGGGGCGATGATATGACAGGAATGATACATGATGCCTTTGGAGGCTTTACACAGTTCATGGATACTGACGTTAGTGAAGGGGTGACATAGAGCATAACTTACAAGAGAATATTGCTCATCCATCTGGAAATCAACCGCATCCAGAGGTGGATAAGTTTGAACGTCTCATGAAGGAGGCAAATGAAGAACTATATCCACGATGTAAGAAATTTAGCAAAATGTCCTTTTTGATGCATTTGTACCGTACAAAATGCATGTTCAAATGGTCAAATGAATCGTTTAATGCTTTGCATAGACTATTGAAGGATGCGCTGCCTGAAGGAGAAAATTGCTTCCGTCTTTCTATGAGACCAAAAAGATAGTTGAAGGCTTGGTCTTAAAGTATGAAAAAATTCATGCTTGTCTCAATGATTGCATGCTTTTTAGGAAAGAGTTTGCTAATAAGAATGTCAATAAATGCAATGTTTGTGGAGCTTCTAGATGGAAAATGATGCTAGAAAAATCCCAGCCAAGGTCCTAAGGTATTTTCCTTTAAAACCAAGGCTACAAAGACTGTTTATGTCTTCGGAAACTTCTAAAGCAATGTGTTGGCATCATGAAGAGCGCAACAAAGATGAAGTTCTACGACATCCTGCAGATTCTAAAGCTTGGAAAAAAATTGATAGTAAATATCCCGAATTTGCTGGGACCCTCGCAATGTGCGCCTAGGATTAGCTTCTGATGGGTTTAATCCATTTGGCACAATACGAACTGTTCATAGTACATGGCCAGTGATTTTAATGCCATATAATCTTCCTCCATGGATGTGCATGAAAAAAGAGTTCTTCATTCTGTCCTTACTTATTCCTGGACCCAAAGCGCCTGACAATAATATTGATGTATTTTTGCAACCTCTAATAGAAGAGTTAAATAAATTGTGGGGTGTTGGGGTAGAAACATACGATGCTTCTACTAATGAGATATTTCAAATGCGAGCAGCTATCATGTGGATTATAAATGACTTTCCTGCATATGGTACTCTCTCTAGATGGTGCACTTATGGTTGGTTTGCATGCCCTTCTTGTAACATAAACACTCAATCTAGAAGGCTGAAACATGGCAGAAAGTTTTGTTACATGGGGCATCGATGCTTCTTGAAATCGGGACACAAATATCGGAATGATGCGAAATCATTTGATAGGACTAAAGAAACAAGACCTGCACCTTGTCCAGTATCTGGGTTAGTACTGCTGAATCAAGTTAAAGATATAAAATTTACTCTCGGCCAGTCAAGTGAAGGGGTATGTGAGGTGATGAAAACACATGGAAAAAGAAAAGTATTTTTTTCGATCTTCCTTATGGAAATTTAACTTGGTGCGCCATAATCTTGATGTGATGCACATAGAAAAGAATGTGTGTGATAATTTAATTTATACACTATTGAATCTTGGTAAAAAGTCTAAAGACAACTTAGAAGCTCGATTGGACCTGAAGGAGATGAAATTAAGACCAAGCTTATGGCCTCAATATCGAGCTAGTGGGAAAGCATATCTTCCTCCTACTTTTTTCACAATATCTCAGTAGGAAAAGGAGTTATTTTATGAAGTACTACAAAATACCAAATTTCCAGATGGCTATGCGTCTAATATTTCACATTGCGTTCGCAAACGAAAGTTGTCTGAGCTAAAAACCCATGATTGTCATGTTATAATGCAAGAACTTCTTCCTCTTGCCTTGAGGAGATTAGTAGATAAAAGAGTAGGTTCAGTTTTAATTGAACTATGCACATTCTTTCATGTTTTGTGTAGCAAAGAGCTAAAACTAGAAGAGTTAAACCTACTTGAAGAAACAATCCCAGAAACTATGTCTACTATGGAGAAACTCTTCCTCCCAGGATTCTTTACTGTTATGATACACTTGGTTATTCACTTGGCAACTGAGGCTAAACATGCGATACTAGTCATTATCGCTAGATGTATCCAATTGAGAGGTATGTAGAATATCACTGAATCTTTATTATATGTCTTTAGTTGTTAAATACTCTAATATCAAACTAATAACATTACTTTGTTCCATAGGTATTTGGGTACTTTAAAATCATATGTTCGTAATCGTGCATGTCCAGAAGGTTCAATAGCAGAAGCATACATAGCAAATGAGTGTATGGCATTCTACTCACGATTTTTAGAGGGTAGAGATTCAAGGTCTTATTGTTCAAGAAAATGGAGTGATGAAATTGAGCATGAGACTAATAAAGAAGAATCTCTTTTTCCTACTGTTGGGGAGTCGTACGGTGGAGTAGATGTATTTGAGTTAGATGACAAAACATGGTTGCAAGCACATCAGCATGTGCTTTTCAATTGTGAATCAGAAGTGGTTGAGAATTATAAAAAGTAAGTGTTATATCTATTATTTAATATATGTATATTACTTATTTGATAACAAAATTGATATATGTGAGTTACATGTATAGGGAACATATTGCTGAAATCAAAAGAGCATATCGTAAGCGTCGTTTGACACAACATCAACTTGATCATGTGCATTTCGATACATTTCATGAGTGGTTCAAGGAGCAAGTAAGTAGTAGGACTAAGTCATTGTTTATGTTAAATTATTATCCTTGTACAAATATCCACATTTATAGTTGTATCTTTTATTTGGTTAGGTAAAGGAGTTGGAAGCCACATCTAACATCTTAAAGGATGTTAAAGTCCTAGAACAAGGACCGAGTTACATTGCAAAAAAATTTAGTGCATTCGATGTTAATTCCAAATAAAACAAAGTGAAGAGTTCAATGTGATATAAAATAGTGGTGTTATGGTCGTTTCAAAGATTGAAAGTTATGCAAGTACAAGTGATAATGCTCCAAAATCTGCAAATATCACATATTATGGCAGATTGAATGATATTGTGGAGTTAAACTACTATGAGAAATTTAAGGTCATCTTATTTAAGTGTGATTGGGTTTATGTAAAGTAACCAAAGGTAGAGGAATTAAGGAAGATGACTTAGGTTTCACACTTGTGAATTTCACACACCTGACAGACTCTGGCGATCGAGAATGTCATGAGCCCTTTATTTTTGCAGAACAAGCTCAACAAGTAATAGTTATGCAAGATCCTCAAGATCATAAATGGTTTGTCCCTAGGTTAATTAAACCTCGAGACATTTTTAAAAACCTCGAGACATTTTTAATATGGGAGAGGAATATAGTGTGCAGTTTGAGTCATCAACGCAAAGTGATGCCACTGACTTGGCTCTTTTAGAAAATGCTTGTGTTTTAGAAGATGAGTATAATGATTGGGTAAGAAGTGGTGGCGATGGAATAATAATTGATACAAACGTAGATTCTCAACCTTCTCCAAATGATGGTGAAGCTAATGTTGAGGGAGAAAATAATATAGAAAATGAATGTGATTCTGAATAAGATAGGTGGAACTTATAGAATATTTTTGTTGCAAGTATTATGTAATAAACTCTAAGGGTGTTATTTTTTTTTCTTCAGAAATTTGAATATTGGATGTTTGAGTGAATTTATTGTACTTTCTTCTACTTATATTTGCTTACTGTATCCATTTAAATGTGATATTATAAGGTGGTACTATCACTTGATAACTATTTTCCTAGTGCATAAATAATTCTTATCTCTAGAACAATATTTGTCGCAAGGCTTTGTTTGCGCTACCTGAGTTGTTGATATTTTTCACATATTGAGACTTGGATGATGCTTCCTCATGTTTTGCAAGTGGCCTGCTGATTTGTTGGAGTCAATCTAGTAATAATATAGTGTAATGCAGCTAGATAATTTTTTCATTTTAGATAAGGAACTATGCGAACTAGAGATCGCAACCGACTTTTAATTGAACAAGACGATGATGAAGATGTGCGACCTTATATTGAGCATTTGATGGATGGTCAAAACTATTCTGCAACCCAGCCTTATATTGAGCAGCTGATGGATAATCAGAACTCTTCTGAAGACCAGGCACATGATGATCAATCTTGTGATTTGAATAGTTCTGCTGGTGGTACTAAAGGTCAACAAAATGATGATGAATCGGGTAACACTTTTCTCTGGAATCATTTTCAAATCTTAATTGTGTGAATACAATGGTTAATCTAACTAGTTTATATTGTGCAATTAACAAGTGTGATTTTCTGTAATTTCTATTGTGATATCGAACTAGTTACATAGTGCAACTTGTAACAATTAAGAGAGTGTCTTCTCTGAGTGTATGTGAAATTGTAACATTGCATCTTGACATTAGTTGTTTGATCTCCTCCACTTATCTTGCTATAGACCAAGGGATAGGCCATTCTCCTTCCACTGCATTCTTCAATATCATTGAATCTGTATGCAGGTCTATAAGAACATAGTCATGTTCTACATAATATCTAAGAGCTTCGACTATAGCCTTAGCTTCTGCCTGAGTATTCGTTCCCTCAGCAATTTCTTTACCACAACCATACATCAAATCCCCTTCTTTATTGCTCAATGCAAAACCAACAGCACTTCTCCCTGGGTTGCCCCTGCTAGCCCCATCAATATTCACTTTAATATATCCTGCTTCTGGGAATTTCCAAATCACCTTTGTTGTCTTCGGTGTAGGCAGATATTGCTCCATAGTTACAATAAAATCTGGCCACTTATGTGGTACATGACTGAGTCTAGGTTTCCTAACTTTGAAAAGTGATTGTAATGTGGTAGATGCCTGGTAAATCACCCTACTCACAGTCACTACATCTCTATATTTAAAGTTGTTTCGCCTCTTCCACAACTCCCATATGATTATGGATGGGATTGCTTGAATTATAGGTTGTAATCTTGGTATCACTTCAGCAGTCCAACACTTGATTATAGCTTGATGAAAAGTTAGCCCTGTTATATTAATTCCTGCATGAGACAGAAAATACTACCAAACTCTTCTAGCAGCACTTGAAGTGAAAAATAAATATTGCATCGTAAGCATTCAATGGTTCATTTCTCCTCCTAACATAATCCCAAGCAGACTTTACACTAAAATTTCCATTAGACTCCAAAGTCCAATATGGTATATCCAGAACATCCTGCATCACTGGTGATCTGCAATTGACCAAAATGTGATTTGCAAACTCATCTGGCAATATTTGTCTAATCAGATTTTCATCCCATTGTCCCTCTTGCACCATATCACTGACATTATGGATCGTTTCATCATTGAAAAAATCTGGAGGTGTTACAAAATATAAGGCCTCCAAACCAGTCCAGTTTTCAACCAAAACAGAGAAGAACCCATCTTGGTATGCCATACAATTTGATGTTCAGTTAAATCTCGACAATGTTACTATTGGCTAACACCTGCTTTATACAAGGAACTATTGTCCAAATTAGCTTTAAGCCCCGATACAACTAACAAGTGATTGAAAGCTTGGAATTTGAGAACTAACCCAAATTAGAGTATCTTTGAAGGTCATATGTACATTCACTATTTAATTGAAGATAAACACTTACCTGTTGGTATATAGTTAGTGTTGAAGCGTATACGCTTTTTGTTGTCCATTGTTCTGTCATTAACAGATTTAACCATATAAGTTTTTGCCATTTGATGACCTTTGAATCTTCTAAAACTGAAGTAGTTACGAAATGACTTGAGAATAGCCAAATTTCTAAGCTATAGAGCACTAGATTCATGCAGTAAGATTTGCTTTAGCAAAAAATCTGTTGCCAATTGAAAATTTTTGGTGAAGAATGCTCAAAAGGCTGATTTGATATATTTTCTTGTATGATATGCATTTGCAGATATACTAAAATACTTCATATATGAGACTATACATACTTTTGGGACATTAATGAAGCAGATTCTTGCAATTTTTCTTGTGCCCCTTTCTGGTTATGGACTTTTAGTTTCATAACCTCGCAAACTATTATCAGCTCTGTTGTTTGGCAACATTTACTTCCTAGTTGATTGAAAGAAATTGTGTTCACAAGATGTAAAGTTGAACACAATAATTTGGTGATGAACCCCTATCTGTTTGTCTCCAACTTGGATCTGGAGTGTGATACTCAGATTGGTGTGATTTCCATGTAGGATCTGATTTTGATCTTTATGTATCCGTTAGGTGGTTAGGAGTCCTTTTCTTTCAAGTCATGAATGCAGCTTCCATAATGTTATTACATTACAAAGGAAGAATTTAGCAACTCCAATCAAGCTCATTGGAAAAGCTGTTCTAAATGAGTTGTGCTTAAATTTGGTCCCAATGTCTTTTATATAACTTCCAAACTTTGTCCACATACCAAATAACATATCCAAATCACTGACATTGTTCCCTCCTTGAATTCCACATATATCATGTGTAATTGTTGGTTGTTCCATACTATCTCCATTATACCCATAATTTGATCCAAAAGGCAGTGTTCCAAAAAATTGCAACTGTGAATTAGCTCCCAATGTAACTTAACACTGCCCAGATTTATGTATTGCATGAGTATCCTTTTTCTCCTTGCTTTAGTATTTTGTAAACATCTCTGTATACTCTTTTCCTTTCTTCTCTTGTGTTCTTTGATCCATGCTCATATTACTTCAAGCACATATCAACTTACATACACTTTCTTTGTCTAATCTATTTAGTATTATGAGTAGATTAAAGTGACATGCTTTACTATTATGATATTTTATCTATTGACATAGTTATTTTATAATTTCAGGTCATACAGTCTGATGTTCGATAATTTAGCGGGTGGAATATTTCAATATGACGAAGAGTTTCAAAGATTATCTGAAGATTGTTATTCGTTAAGATTAGTTATATAATGACATTAGCTATTTACTTCAAACAATATGAGTTATTTTTTAAGGTTTTGTGACATTAATATTTTAGATTAGTACTTCCTTTTGTTTGTTAAGATTTAACGAGATATACTATAGTTTTATGAATTAATATTAATATGTTTTGTTATTTGCATTATTTTTGGGTCGAATGTAGTAACTATTATTAATGGTGGCTAAACTTACCGTTATAGCTTGTGAATTTTAGTGCCAATTTAACTGGGTTAAGAAGTTTATACAGGGATATTGTAACCATTATATTGCTATTAAAGATGATTTTTAGCGGCAATTTAATTGACTGTACTATCCATTAAAATGGACGCTAAAGGGGCATACTAATACGTTTTTAGAAGAGATATTGTTGCCACTCTAATTGCCACAAAACAATTACCGCTAAAGGTATGGACTTTTAGCGACAAATATTTTGAATTTAGCGGCTATAAAAATGAACGTTAAAGGAGCATTATTAGTCGTTTTTAGACTGGGTTTAGCAGCCATAATAATTGCTGCAAACAATTGTTGTTAAAGCAGATGAGTTTTAGTGGCAATAAGTCATACCTTTTACCAGCTTTTGGAAGAAATGCCGCTAAAGGCTTTTACCGAACCCGGCATCACTGACTAAAGATCAATTGCCGGTAAATGATATAGCAACTATTGTTATTGCCGCCAATGCTGTTTTTTATTGCCACTAAAGGTCCTTTTTGTAGTAGTGGCATAGGCAATCACCCTACCATCCTGCATCAATACCGCATCAAGGCCAATCCTCGAGGTATCACAATAGATAGTATAAGACCCCGAACTAGTAGGCAATATCAAAAATGGGGTTGTAGTCAAAGCTGTATTGAGCTTCTAGAAGCTCTCCTCACACTCTTTCGTACACTAGATTAGAACCCTCAACAAATCGACGGTAATAACCTGCCAAGCCAAGAAAACTGCAGATCTCTGTAGCTGAGGATGGTCTAGGCCAACTGTGCACTGCTTCCACTTTCTTCGAATCTACCTGTATCCCCTCACTCGACACCACATGACCCAAGAATTCTACGGAATCCAACAAAAACTCACATTTCGAGACATTTGCATATAACTTCTTTTCTCTCAAAGTCTGAAGCATTATCCTTAGATGTTGCTCATAATCTTCCCAACTCCGGGAATATATCAGAATATCATCAATAAAGACAATGACGAATGAGTCAAGATATGACCGGAACACACTGTGCATCAAATACATAAAGGCTGCTGGGGCATTGGTTAGCCCAAATGACATAACAAGGAACTCGTAATGACCATACCGAGTTTGGAAGGCAGTCTTCGGGATATCTGGCTCCTGAATCTTCAACTAATGGTAACCTGAATACAAGTCAATCTTAGAAAACACTCGTGCACTCTGTAATTGGTCAACCAGATCATCAATACGAGGCAAAGGATACCGATTCTTCATTGTAACTTTGTTCAACTGGCGATAATCAATGCACATATGCATAGAACCATCCTTTTTCTTCACAAATAAGACAGGAGCACCCCAAGGTGATACACTGGGCCGAATAAAACCCTTATCAAGCAATTCCTGTAACTGATCCTTCAACTCCTTCAACTCAAGAGGGGCCATATAATACGGAAGAATGGAAATGGGCTGAGTACCCGGCAATAGATCAATGCCAAAATCAATATCTCTATCGGATAGCATGCCCAGGAGGTCAGCTGGAAACACATCAGGGAAGTTCTGTACT